CGCTACCAGTTTAGTGCTGCTACCAGTCCAGCGCCGCAACAACGTATAGAGACTACTTTCTTGGGCACGTGCACAGTGGACTTGAGGGCAGGTATACTGGACGGCGAGTTAGAGTCGATGCCTGTTCGACAAAGCTACTCGACTGAGTTATGCTACACTACTCTAGAATAGACGCCCGTTTTCGACACGCCTGTTTTCGACACTCAAGCTACTCGACTGACTTCTACGCTGCTATGCACGACTACGACTTCGCTCTACGTTGGGCACACGCGCACCGGCACACGCACGTGCACACACACACTCACGCATGCACACACACACACACGCACACGCAAAAGTGGTGAGTCGTTGGCAATCCGTATAGTTCATACGCACGCGTGCACACGCACACGCACACACGCACACACACACACAACCACACGCAAAAGTGGTGAGTCCTTGGCCATCCGTACAGTTCATCTTGGGCGGACTGTCGGGGTTCAACCTCCTGATGAATTGGTGGAAGTCCAACGAAACAGTCTGGCTGAGTCATGTTGTGAGTTCTGTATAGCGAACATAACAACACTCACACATACACAGACTCGCACACGCAAACAAACACTCACACACACTCACCCAGGACACACCATCTCTACATTCTGAATGTTGGACGCTGAGGCTTGAGCTGTGCAGCGGCAAGCCTTTCCAACGACCGCACCTTTATGACTGACGGTGAGTTTGTTATTTGTGTCTGTTGCTTTCATTTTTTGTGGTCTTGGAACTATGAGAGAGAGAGTGTGTATGTGTCCACTCGTGTGTGTGTGTGTGTGAGAGAGAGAGAGAGAGAGAGAGAGAGAGAGAAAATTGAACTAGGCGCCTCCTCCCCCCCACGATCAAGTGCAGTATCTTCTTCGATCAGTTTCATATTCGATCCTCCCTTCCCGCACAATCGAGTGTATTATCTGCTCCGTTCGGTTTCGTATCTCATGCGCGGTCCATCAAGACCTTTCTATTGTAAAAAAGAAAAAAGATGCGCGCGAGGTCGTGCGCGGACATGGGAGGAATAAAGAGGGGGAGAGAGAGAGAACCCAACTATGCACCCCCTCCCTCTCTCCCCCCCCCACCACCACCAACACACACGCACGATCAAGTGTAGTATCTGCTTCGATCAGTTTCATATCCGATCTTCCCCAATGATCAAGCGTAGTAGCTGCTCCGTTCAGTTCCATATCTTATCTGTGGTTCATCGATATTTTATAAGAGGGAAAAAAAGCACCTGCGTGCTTGAGCGAATGAGATCGAGCGAGAGAGAGTGAGAGAGAGAGAGGAGGGGGTGGGGGGCGGTCCATCGAGATGGCTTAGACGCAATCGAGATTGTTTAAA